AGTGGTGGACGGGATGCTCGAACTCGAAGGTACGACACCGGCAGCGCCGATGGGCGGGAAGCTCGAAGCCGAAGGTACAACACCGGCGGGACCGATGGACGGGAAGCTCGAAGCCGAAGGTACAACACCGGCGGGACCGATGGACGGGAAGCTGGAACTCGGACCGCATCCTGCACCCGATCCTGAAATCTGAGAAGGGGGAGGGGGGTTTTGCGCGAAAAGGCCAGTACCAACACCAGGCGGAGACGCTTGGCGGACAACGGGGGGAGGGACAACGGTAGAGGGGATTACATCACCGTCGCGGTACGAGGGAGGCAAGCGGGTGGCCGATAGAGAGCATCCGATATCCGAGTATGCGAAACTAAGCCGACCACCGAAAAGGTGCACACCCCTCTCATCCAACATTATCCTGTGCTTTTTCTGCGTGTGGTGCAGAGAGAACAAGTTGAACGAAATCCCTGGTACTACGTACACGTCTGTCAATTGGACACAGAAATCCGCTTCCCCCGATCGACCTCCTGCCATGTGAAATGCCAGATTGACACTACCTACGCACTCCACGCGCAAATAAGCACCATTGCCTACTTTGATGAATTCTTTGCCGGGGGGGACAGGCGAGATGTTGTACATCTTGTAGCTGTTACTCACAAAATGGTTGCTTGCACCGCTATCAGACCAAAATACCTCCCTACCAGGACTGTATTCGCAACTCTGTGCAGATAAAGCAAAGCCAAGATCATCACCACATGCGACACTGCTTACATCACTCGAAACCGAAAGCGAACTCATCTCGTCAGCGGACACAAAGTGTGCCATCAGGGAGTGGAGATGCCCAGGCGGATAGGTTGCTGCTCCGGGAGAGGGCGACTGGGGCGGGGCATGGGTGGAGTGCTGCTGCTGCTGCGGCTGAAACGACGGCGGTGGCGGAGGCTGCGATGGTGGCTGCTGCTGCTGGTAGTACGGTGTCGGAGGCGGGTAGTACGGCTGCTGCTGGTAGTAGTCTGGCGAAGGCTGCTGCTGCTGCTGCTGCTGCTCCCACCCGCCATACTCGGTACCATTCGCGGGCCCCCCGTAGGGCATAGCACTATACGCGTGCATCACATTAGCGTGCCCGTACGGAGGCCGCCAAGGCGGTTGTGGAGGACGAGGGGGCGCTGCATACCTGTGCTGATGCTGTCCTCCGTAGCCGCTGTGAGGTCCGTGCTGAGGCCCACCGCCCCAGCCCCCCCCACTGTAGCTCGGCTGCTGCGGCGGCGGTCCGTGAAGTTGCTGTTGCTGAGGCTGCTGTTGCTGAGGCTGCTGTTGCTGAGACTGCTGCTGTTGGGGTTGCTGTTGCTGAGACTGCTGCTGTTGGGGCTGCTGCTGCTCCTGCTCCTTCCGACGGTCGCGCTGGGTGTAGCACTGGGCGTTGGTGTGGAACAAGCGCGGATGTAGGTAGCAGTGGTCGTTGTCGGCTCCTCTCTCACCTCCGCCTTTCTTGTTTCCTCTCACCCTGCTCCTGCTCCGACTCCGGGCGCCTCCGTCTCCGTCCTGACCCCCGCCGTTTCCACTCGACCCATTTTGGACACGTCCATCGCCCCGGATGCCACCGGAAGCGACGAACGCGTGCCCCGCGCCATTCTTCGGTTCCCCCTCCCGACGGCGAACCGAGTCCGCATGAGCATCTCGCACAGCCTTTTCAATTGTCTCGCGCGAGGGGGGAATCGGTGACATGGTCAGAATCTTCTTCTCTACCGAGTACTCGTCGGAAAGGTGGTATACCATGTGGGCATTGGCATCATCGTCGGAGAAAACAACACCGTGCGAGGCGAGCCTACTGCGCAAAACAGCAAATCTCCCGAAAGTACTCTTTGCGGGGTCTCCCCTACTTTCATCTCAAGAGCGTGATATTGAGATGACAGCCTTTCTTTTTCGGCCCTGGCACGCGGCTCGTAATAATTGAGGAATATCTTCCAACCTCCACTAGGACTCCCATCGGCGATGATCTGGGTTAGGATTGGCATGTATGTCACTGTCGTGATCAGCAGGTTCCACGCCGTTATTGCCTTTTCTACCCGTCCACTCGAATGCACCCTACGCATCTCCTCCATGCTCACGCCTTCTTTCCCAACTGGAATTTTTTCTTCAGTCAGTACTACGTCACGCACTCCTTCCTGGGCAAACATAGCTACCATGTTCGATCGAAAAATCAAAAACTTAGCCTGCTCATCCTCCCCTTGCTTGAAAACACCATCCCAAGGCGCTAGGCGCTTAGTCTCAGTCATTCGAACCGTCCCTGCGTTAATGGGTACTCTACCCATGTCCCCTGATGAGACGTGAAGTCGACCGGTGAGGGCGTCGGCGAGTGTGCGGGCGATTTCGTCGGTCGTCGGGTTGGCCGATGGCCGCCCCGCGTGTTGCTGGTGGCGATCCTCGTGCTCTCTTCCGGTCCGGACGTCATCTGTCCTCCGCTCCTCTGCTTCTTGCCTCGACATCTCGGCCAGTCTTGCTTCTACCCTTTGTTCGACCAAGTAGTTGATCCGGGCTTCCTCCTCTGCTAGTCGGGCGCTCACTCGATCTTGCTCGGTGTCGTTCATCGGTGGCTGCTGCTGATCGCCGCAAAGCGATACTCCAAACTAAGCTCGACTCGAATCTCGTAGACGACGTGTCATACGCTAGCGTGATCGATAATTCGGGTGGCTCAGTTGTGTGTGATGGGAGCGTAGAGCAGCTCGGCCATGACGGGCCGCACGGGTAGGTAAAGACGTGTAGACGTGGTGAAAAACGTGTTGTATTCATCGGGGGCGTGCTTGAGCTCGTCATTCCATCACGGCATCAAGTCACGCATAACGCTTTAATACCTAGAACGAATCTCCATGAATCTCCACCAATCTACTACACTCCCAAGGAAAACACAAAGAAACTTCTTGTTCCTCCGTAGTTCGTCACTGCAATCCCCGCATATTTATACGCAATATACCACCCCCATGCTATGCTACGAGTATATCGAATAAAGAGGGCATGCCTCAGCCCTGTTAGATGGCAGGAGCACCAAACTTGACAAAGCGGGCATTGATGTTGTTCAGAAACGCCTCACGGTGCGGGAAACAGTAACCTCCGTCGGCACCAAACCGGTGCAGTGATGGTTGGCACGATGCACAATCAGCAGACCACCGAAGTAAATAATAATAGAAAACCTGCAGTTTGGTTGTCGCCTCTTTTTCTGTTGCCCTGCCGTGGTTGAAACCGTGGCGCGCGGTCGTTTCAGTCTATCCGCTTGAACCGTCTGGCACTGCCAGGTACCATATTCACTACTTGAACACAGTGTGAGGCACCTCATGAGCCCCACGAGACCTTGTGAGACCTCATGGCACCTCTTGGAACCTTATGATGGTTCATGAACCCTGCTGAGACCTGAGCGTGCCTCATATTACTTCATTAGACCTCATGGAGTCTCATGACTTCTTGGATCACAAGGCACCTCTTGAGATCTCGTGATGTTCCATGAAACCTTATGATACCTACAATGACACTTCATGATACAGTATACCTAAGGAGATCTCATGGCACCTCATGAGACCTCGTGATGCTCCTTGAAACCCTATCGTACCTCGTGGCAGCTCACGAGCCTCATGAGACCTCATGGTACCTCATGACACTTTGTGAGACCTCATGAGACCTCAGGAGACCAGATGATGCACTCATGATACCTCATGCGACCTCATGATGCCTCATGAAATATCATGAGACCTCATGAGACCTGCGGGCCTGTGGATTCTCTCACCGATGTACTACAGATACATACCCAAGGGGGCATTGCGAATCGAGATGCAGGTGCAGCTCCTCTACTGTGTAGTCTCTCGACAGGCGCAGACGTGTTGCACCTCGCATGATATGTTTCAGCCAACGTCGTCTATGTATGTACCACGCATGCCCACATACTAGTCTATGCTGCACGCATGCCGGCCCGCCGCAGAGGTGTGTTTTCAAATTCAAAAACTGACGTGACGTCCATGCCGGCTGGATACAACACGCGCGGTGCGACACGGCGAACTCGAGTGAAACGGCAGCAATCGCGAGCCTACAGCGTATATCACGAATGCGAAGATCACCGGCCACGTGGGTTCGCTCGTTGTGTAGAGCCAGCTACGTACCGAAAACAATAGCATTTCCAGCGCCTCGCTGTGCGAGATCCCGCATGTAGAAAACCCTTGCAACCAACCACCTGGCCTTGAACTGGGCCATACATCTACACTACGCGCCGCATCTCTCTATCCGCGTCAGCCTTCCGTTCTCCTTGATCAATCGCACTTTATCGAACGTCTTTTACGTGAAAAGTGTGGGTGAGTTAGGGCGAGCCAGGTGCCGAGGCCATTAGGGTGCTGTGTTGTGCAAGTAAGAGAACAAGAACAGACCTGAAGTGCGGCCAAGTCTCCTGTTGTATGTGTACAACAGGGGCGGCGGGACATGAGGGGGCTCCGCATTATGAATGACTTGGTCGACGTAGTTTCTGTTGCGCGAACAGCCCCTCTGGGCCAACGTGCGGGACCGACCCCCATTTTCGTCTCGATCCTTCCGTCACGCGTGCGCACCAACCCGTGAGGTGGTGAATACTTGATGCTGCGCATAGACAGGCCATAAAGGTTAATCTATAACGTTGCGGCACCTACTCTGTACTGTCTCGTGGGCCGATCCTTCCCACCGAAGGAATTTTCCCAGTGGCGTAAACACCCCAAGAAATTTCGTGGTTGGAATCCGGCCTCTGTTCGTGCTAAAAAGCCATTTCACACTTTCACACGGCATAACACCAGCACAGAGACATCCATAGCACTACATAGCACGGCCATACACCAGCTATCCAGCGAGTACACCGCAAGGCAAGTAAGTGCGCCACGGAGTGAGGGATGGTTCCTGGCCAGCAGTGTAAACTAGACATGCATACAAGGTAATCATTGGAAAAACTACAACTGTAGGCAGATGATCCTCTTCCATCCACTGCCGCAGTGCTTAGGAGTGCTCACCTTGTTCGAATTGTCGAATTGGCGGGCCTCAAGGTGGTCTCCATGTCGGAATGTTGGAGAGCAACACACGGCCTGCAGGGTTCAAGTCTGACCAGAATGCGAACGAAAAAGTGCAGCAGCAGGAACTGCTGTGCATCTATCTATCTTTCGAGTCTTCGACCTCCTCCATGATTATGATATCGGCAGCAGCGAGTGATGACTACGTATACAGCAGTAGTACGTACCATCGGAACGAAGGAGTGTCACCCCTGTGTGACCTTCAAGCAGTGGAACTCCGACACAACATACCGAGGATTTCTCGAAGGAGGTGGTGGTGCTGCTGCTTTTGTAGCTGCCGCCGCCATACCGTATTGAAGATGGACTTCGTACATGGCAATCTGCGAGCTGATTATTATGTGGTGATCAACTACAGCAGTACCGCTGTTCATTGGCGCGACTCCGGACACCTCAACCAATGCAGAATATCTGACGTCTTATTCCGTCCTGATTATAGTGGTCAGGCCGCTACCCTTGTGAACTGTACAAGGACACCAGGCTCGTGTTTATCCGCGTCCTTCCGACCGTGCCAAAACAAAAAACACGCTTGTCCCCACATCTGTTTGTTGTTTCACGCACCCTGTTGTTGTGCCGTTGCCGCCCCGCAGATGATACGTAAGACGAAACGTTTTAGACATAAATGGCCACTTCCGGTACCGCTTACATCGCATAGAATTTTTACGATCGTTTCCCCGCACCTCGGCGTCTCTGTCTACCCAGTTCTGAAGACAAGGTACAAGATCCGCACTGACCCTGCATGAACATGTTCTGGGACACGTTCTTATGTCTACCCCCCAGGTCCGCTCGTCTCATTCTTCACTTGCACTATGGTGGTACGCGAGGCTAGAGTTGTTTGCTCCATATTCGTTTTTCTGGTGCTGTCGAGTTCCTTGGGTATTGTACGGGGAGAATTCCCGGATTACCCCATGACCTTCGCCGACATGAAGGTATTGGCGGGATACTACACAGAAGACGGAAAGTACTTGGGAGGCATTCCTAAGGCGGACGGTGTGAGCAGAGAGATCTACGAGTGTGCAACCGAGGCACCTTCCAGCTGGGCTCATGCGAGTGCAAGTCTGTCGACAACGAAAGCTACTGCTCCGCTTGGATCTGCATCCAGGTTACAGAAGAGGAGGAGTGCAACTCCGACGGAGGCAGCTGTTTCGTGTCCACCAATACCGACTCCGTCCTATGCCAGTGCGACCTCGAGACTACCTCTGGCCTGTATTGTGACTCGTGGTCGTGCAAGCAAATAGACTCTGAGGGCAGGGTGGAGTTCGAAGAGTACGGTTGCCAGCGTGAAGCCGAGTCGGGACACTATTGCGAGGCTTGGAACGGAAACGTGACTGCTAGCGATGAAGTCGAGGTGGTGACGTGCGAGTGCGTGGCTACTTGGAACGGTGATCACGTGTGGTGAGCGGAAGGGGTGCGCGGCTTGTGTTGCTTTCCGCTTGTAGGTACAATGAAAAGCGTTTTTCGAATGTCTGCCCGCTAAAGAACGTTCACGGAGAGACCTGGGCAAACATACATCAGGAGCTCAGCCAGTCTCTAGCTGTTGTTTAGTTTTTCTTTGCCGCATGCGTCAAGGGAAAACCGCCAGGCCAGTGTGTAGCGCATTTTCGGTTAAGGAACCTCCAGCCTTTCTCGCCGCCTGGGTTCTGTTGCGGGAGGCTTCCTGGCGGGGTGGCTGGGGTTGAGAGGTAGTGGCGTCGTGTTCATTCTCGAAGCGTCTGGCGCCTCAACCGTTGGGCGAAACTGCTGTCTGCAAGGCTTTTAACCATATCATCCCCCCCCGCCCCTCTCTTTCATTCCCGCCAGCTCCTACTGGGAGTGCGAAGAGATAGGTCTGAGTAGTTGCAGTTCGACAAGGGGGTGGTGCAACCTAGGCTTGTCCGTGGGCTTGGCGGGCGTGTTTGGACTCGCTGGGGCTGTGCTGGCCGGCTGGATCGTTAGCGTTGGTTGCTTCGAGCAAGACATCACTGATTTGTGGGCGGTGGTGAGCATGGGTGTCGGCGGTATCCTTTGGTGTATGGTGTGGGCAGTCGGCGTCGTCATTTGGGGCGGTGTGGATGGGGCAGTCTATGTCGGAATCATGTGGGGTATCGGTTTCCTGTTGGCCTCCGGCACCGGTTGTTGGTATCGCAAAAAAGATCGGCAGTAGTACGGCATCCCAATGTAGCCATGCCTTCACATCAAAGCAACGTACAGCAGAGGCGTAAGAGGCGTAAGGGTCTGCCGGGACGTATTGCCGTTGCACAGTGTTGGGATCCTTAGGATAAGGTGTAGGTCGTAGCCTGACCTTTTCCGTACGTATGTACTGTAGACGTCCACAAATATACCCTCTTGCAAGTAACTCGCCAATATATGCGTTAGCAAACAAGGATTCGTACTCGGTAAACCGCCGAATTGCAAGTAGCCCGGTCGCTGATGATCTATCTACACTTTCAAGCGTCAGTTCAAGAAAACGTAGGCTTGCCAGTACCGTATGTTGTGAACGTGCCGCAAACTCGACAGCATGGTGCTGCAGTCACCTCTGGCTGTAGCTATTGTCTCATCTTCCTAGTGGCGTATTCCAAACGTGTTTGAATGGATAACGTCTGACGTCCAGAGTGGGAGGGACTACAACACACAAAACACACGCACTTCTTTCCATTGGTCAGGCGGTTGACCCGGTTGATGCAATAAAGAAACACCCACCCACCCATTCACACCCATACCCGCAGACTATTGACATCGTACACGATCGTCCCATGTCCCCTCATGAGCACGTGAAATTCAGCGAATGGTGAATTGTTAGCCTCACTTCTCGCTGCCCCCCCTCCGTATTTAATGGAAAATCAACACGACGCACTGACGCAGTCTCCCGCTGCCAGAAACAAATAACCCCGTAGAGCGTCTTCTGCTCAAAAGCGATTTCCGAGTTTACGACAAAACCCCCCCAAAAAACGCATGTCGCCTTCACCGTTGCAGCCCGCGCGGGACAGTTTGACCTCCCAACATTCTTGCGTTCAAAGAGATAAGCTCTTAATTCTGCTCTTAGTTCTGTGGGGGAGGGGGGCACGCATCCCGCGGCGGGGGCGCACAGGCATCTTGTGACGGCGGCGGCGGGGGAGGTGGGGTGCATGCGTCCCCTCCCTGGTCACTGTCGCCACTAGCCGCTGCCGCCCCCTCCGTCGCCGCAGCCGCCGCTCCACCCAGGAAATATCGGAGCTCTTGTATCAACATTTCGGCGGGCATCACGCCTTCCATCCGCGTTAACTCCTTGCCCTCCTTGAAGAGGACCAGGGTTGGTAGCCCGTTCACGCCGAACTTGCTCATCAGATTCGGGTACTTGTCCGTGTCAATCTGGGTTGAGAAGACAGGAGATGAAAAGGGGCCACACGTGAGAGGAAGGCGGACCATGTCCACTCGTGGCCTTATTTCTCCATGTGTGTCTAAATGTGGAGCTATTGCGTACTTCCAATAAGGAACATGGCAAATTGTGTACGCCTGGTTTTGCTGTGAGACATTTCGGAACTCATCCCAACATTTGTTAATTGTTCGAAAAAGCGTCGGGCATTGAGTAGTCCATACACTTTCAAGGAAGATAGGCCATCCCTCGCCTTTTGAGTGCCTGTTAAGCAACTTCACAGACCAAGCTGTAACAAAATTTGGGTGCTTCCACTGCGTGTGCACCTTAAAAATCTTGAGCTCGTCCTTCATCTTCGGCCCGACAACGGCAAGGTTGTCCGACATCATGCTGCAAGGCCCGCACCACCTGCATCACAAGCGTCAACCGCAAATAAAAAAGAAGGGTTGACGGTCATAGATAGAGCTACATCTTGCGGACTCGAAGAAGGTGTGCATTGATGACGGGATGCAACGAAGACATCGCTGATGGCACCGGACGCTGTGTCGGAGGCTGTAGCATGCTCCGTAACCGAATGCCATGCGCAGAAAAATGGCGGTACCTTGCACGTACAGTGCGCATGAATATGCGCGAAAGCTCAGGTATCTATGTAACACGACAAACGGTGCGAACGGCGAGAGCACAAACAAATGTCCATGGTACTCGCAAGCGCGTACATCTACGGAGAATGTCTCTACGCCGGTGGTGACGTTGGCATTAGTGCGTCGCCGCCGTGAATAAGTGTGGTGCAACACACAATCAGCCGCTCACGCGCTCGGATAATCACAACCCTTTTTGGGGACCATACTCGTAACTGGCCCTCGGCGAAATCTGACGCCCATACGACGGTTGTCCAATCGGGTACGTAAGACTTCGTCCACGTACGGATTGCCGCCGGCGTCCACCCAATCCACCTAGCCCGCACGCGCGGTGGTTTCTACAACGTACTGCAGCACGCTAGCGAGGTCAGGAAAGAACACACCGCTCTCTCCTCGGTAACACTAAAGTGAGATACAGTTCCAGGTTCCTGCTGGACGACGCGTTGGAATGTCAACGGTTGATGGCAAAGCAACTACAACGTTTTGGGAGACATCAAAATTAGTGTTCCCGTAAGTATCTGCCCCTGTCACTACTCTGCGCGCGATGCATTTGGAGGGTGGGTTTATACAGCAGGTCTCACGTTGCATAGAAGTCGACCAGGAGTGCGCCAGGCTCCTTCTCAAGCATATCTTCGAAGTTCTTGTAGGTTGCCTTAGCGAACAGCCTGGTGCTGCTAGGCCGTTCGCCACCGCAGACGTAGGAAAGCGCTGTCGTTCTTGGGGATCTCGGGCCGGTCTTTGCGTCAACGCGGCCCCCGTCTGCTGGGGTGCACTCCGAACATCTGCCGAACGAGGTGAAGGAGCACACGTCCAAGTCCCAAGCAACGAGGTCAACATTGATTCACAGGGAGCAAGACTAAGGAAGCAGCAATGAGCGTACCGGCGGAGGTTGCCTAAAGTCAAGGACTCCTCTTGTGCGCAAGCCAATAATCGGGGGAAGTCAAGGAATTTTGCGCGCGAGCTACAATAAGATTTCGTTCTTCTCTCCGCACCATAGCCAGCAATTGACGGCTGTGTAGGATGTACCTCATGAACTGACGCATTTGTTCATCGCCAAAGTTAAACTTGAAATAAACGCGGCGCGATGTGGGGGAAAGGTGCACGCGGCCGGTGCGATTGTGGTGAACGGTTTTGGGGATCATTCAATGCTTTTCTGCCTTATCAGGCATGTTCTGGATTGGGGCAAACGTATGTTTGTCAAGGCGGCGCAGGTAGATTGCATATACCAGACAGGAGCCGCCGTGAAAAAGTTAGGTCGGAATCTCCACACCAGAAACTACTCCTGATACTGCTGTACAGAAAACCTTGAACAAAGAAAATTATCGCGTTGACGTTATGAAAGGTGCACTCGCCAACTGAAACGTGTTTTTGTTCGTAGCATGAGCTTCCCCGGGCATATAACGCCTTGGACCTGTAGAAACCCTGCATCGAAACTAGGATGGTGAGCAGGATGCGAACGATACCACACGCCCTCTACGGACTATCAAAGCTCAAATGGACCTCTGCAACAAAGACGTGGCTGTCTCGAAAATGGCGGCGCTGGGAACCATCTAGTCGAGTGCATTCCGACATGGTCTTAATCGATTTTGGGATTCTCTTCGTCATGGAGTCGTCGAGCCTTGAAAGGTCGGTCGATGGAGTCTCGTATCCTGTGAAACTTAAGGTTTCGATCGTGCCTGACTCAGAGAGGGCTATTTGCTTGTCTCGGCGCGAAGGACTCCTATCTGAACCGAAACCATGTGTGTCCTTGATCCTTACAAGGACTACATGTAACTTGAGTATGCGGGCGAAATCACCCTCTCCTAGCTCACGTTCTTCGCCGCGCATCGAATGTCAAATTGTACTCTGAATCAATCCTCAACTGCTGGATTCCGTCGTCTTTACTTTCGCACGGGACTGTTAAGGCCGCGGTGGGGATGGCAGGTTTCCTCTTCAATAATCCAGGAAACGCCTGCATATCTCAGTTTTCCAAAGTCTAACTCCAGTACGAAACTTCAATCGTCCGCGCACCCCCCGTCGTGTACAATGTTAGTGTCTGAGATTGTAGCCCTTGCGATACACTACAGATTAGTGGTCCGTCATTTTCCAAACGATCCTTCTATCATCGAGATCGGTGCGCTACAAGCTGGATTGCTGAAGCTGCTGTGCGGTCCGATTTTGAAACGCTTCAAGCACCTTTGCAACGGCGAATCAGCGCCTAAGTGAGTCTGTGGCGCCGCGAACTTCAGCGCAGCTCTTCCTTCGTATGTTCTCGTTGCCACAGTCGATTTGACTGCCTCCGGTCATGTATATGTAGGTCTAGCCAGCAGCAAAGGTGCTTGAAGCGTTTCAAAATCGAACCGCACAGCAGCTTCAACAATCCAGCTTGTAGCTCACCGATCTCGACGATAGAAGGATCGTTTGGAAAATGACGGACCACTAATCTGTAGTGTATCGCAAGGTCTACCATCTCAGACGCTAACATTGTACACGAGGGGGGGTGCGCGGACGGTTAATTTGTTATGGCAGTTTCGTACTGGAGTTAGACTTTGGAAAACTGAGATATGCAGGCGTTTCCTGGATTATTGAAGAGGAAACCTGCCATCCCCACCGCGTCCTTAAAGAAACACGACGTTCAGAACAAGGGCCTTTTTCCTTTGTATTTGCCAACAGGAAGTGCACGAGGGATGCACGCGAGCCTTGTTCTTGTTTAGGATTTGCCCACAGCCGTGTCCTGGAAAGCCATTTTGGTGCGACGCGCGCCACAGCTTGTTGTCATTACCACTACAATAGTATTCCTTGCCCGCCATATGATCCGCCCCCTGCTCCCGGCTGCACGGCTATGAGTACACCCCTTGCTCCCGGCGATTCCCTACAGCTAGCTGTGGGAAGCACCACGATGCTGTAGTAAAATATTTTTGTTTCTGAAATGAATGCGTTATGAATGGGGTAAAGCAGGGGCGAGTACAATGGTGTTGGAAAATATCTCTTCGCCAGCTTTTTGACGACACGCCTAGACATGTGGGCTGCTTTCGGGGGGGACGAGGCCAGGGGGGGGGTGGTATACTGCGTCATTGTTGCGTTTGCAAGCCGATCATGCAAGGCACGCGAGCACCACCAGTAAACCAACCCCTCTAGGATATATGCAACGTCTGTCCGAGTGCGAGCACAGCTCATTGTCTGGCCGCATAAATACAGCAGTGACTCCTTCTTTGCATTGCGTGCATTTTGACTCATGAATCACAGCAACCGCCCGTTCACGCAGAAGTATGCATATTGCGTCTGACCTTGCCCTCACCACCCCCGGCAGCACGAATCCTTTCGCACAGACCACCAGCAATGTCACGCCAACAACAGACCCCACGAAGTTCCTCATTGCGCTGGCGGGGCAGTCCGGGAAGTTAAAGCGTGATCTTAATACACATCCGTCGAAGTTGTGGTGTGGTGGTGTCCTTATTGAGGTCACCCATCATCAGGTGTTGGGCTGCTGTCTGCGAGCTCCCTCACAGGGCGGTGACAGGATTGTAGTTGTTAGCAGTTGCACGGCAGTTACGACAGAGGTTCAACGACCTCGATCACGTGGCGCCAGCAATCAGTACACGCTTCTACCTGTCGCCATGCTATGCACACACATTATGTAGCAAGGAGAGAGCGGCTTCGCCGGAAATAGCTGCGGCAACTTTGTTGCGAATGTCCTAAAGGTTGCTGTTTTTCGCTTTTTGGGAGTTCCTCCGCATCGGAAAAAAAATATTCTGTGTCGCCCCGGACCTACCGCACTGCGTTCGAAAACGGCAGAGATTTTCGGGGGCACCGGCTATTTCCTGGGGAAGGTGGCGCAGAGCGTAGATCATGAGGTAAACAGTTGGGTTGTCAGTTTTCTTGCCGAGGCGGTAATCGCTCATGTACAGAAGTATGCGCATATGTTTGATCCAAGTCTAACCAAGTCTGAGTTAGCAAAAAAAGGTCTGCCAATACCACGCATGGTATCCAAGAACATCATTGTTGTACTGCTGTATGCATACTACCTGGTAGATATTTTTGGAACACACAAGATCGCGACAAATCCGAGGGTTCATCACCAAAAGGGTTTTGTAGCTCGAATGGTCAGGAAGATCAAATCGAGCTGACACAAACGTGAATTTCTTCCTGTAACAATTTCGGCGTTCTTGACCACATCAAAATACACAAGCCAATCTGCGAATTTCGAATCATGATCGCCGCACGCGCGCCGAACAGTGCGGGTAGAGACTGACGGTAGGTGGCGGTGTAAACTTGTACAGAAGGACACATTGCTCCGTGCATCGAGAGCAATGGTCACTGTTCAAGGCCAGAGGCCTGGTGCCGGTGGTATCGCTTGATACTCCGGCATACCACTTCGACACTCAAGTCGGCCCACTAGCCGTCTTGCTCATCATTCTCTTTAGACGTCGACCACTTTAGTGCAACGACAAGTTGCGTCCATCACCATCTGCAAAAAGAACCGTTCGCCCCTACGATAATCCCCGGTCTTGTGAATGACGCACACTACCCTCGCACCGCGCACTTGATGTACCTGAATGCCTACAAGGGCTGGAAACTGATTCACACTTTCTCCAGTTCGTACAGTAGGTTCCTCTTTTGATGATTTCCAACATGTTTGCAACTCCAAGGCGTACTTGTCTGAACCCTGTCTTTCGACAAGTATGCAGAACGAAAGTGCGCCATCTAAGATAAGGTGCATAACCTGCACACGCCTCAAAGCCGGGCAGCTATCTGGTCGGTGCGGCACGCGATTCCAGCCACTTTTGAACGTTCTTGTTCCGCACCCACACCATTCCCCCCTTCCCGTCGGCTACACGCTTCATCTCGTCTCTGAAGTGAACGTAGCCATCACCATCCTTGGCGTCCTTACACCTTTTGATTTCCTCCTTGTCCATGAACTTCTTCAGCGCTTCGTAAGAGGCCCTCGTACCCCTTTGCATGTCGGCACCGATTGCTTCCTCACCCGTTACAACACGACGTAGCGCATGTTCGTCAAGAGTGCGGTCGACTAGCTCTCCCACCAGTCCGTCTCTCACGTCCTTCAGGAAATCCGAGGGGTCCACGTTCAGTCCTGTCGTGGCGTTCAGCGCTACCTTCGCGGTCACCACGGCCACCTTAGAAGAGAGCACATCAACAATTTAGGTGCACAAAGAAATCCACCGCAGCTCATCATCACCGACGTTGCAAGGCATTGGCCCAGCAACCAAGAGCCCATTATTTAAGCCGAAAACGTAAACACGTACCGCACGGGAGCACATCTTTATTTGGAGTACCCGTATGACATGTAGTAGGTCCACCAGAAACAGTGTCACCGACTCCGACCAACCTCTTTTAAAAAACTTTGTCTTACCTGAAGCACCGGCGATATTTTCCTCACCCAGCCACGCGTCTGCTTAAACCGATGGCCTTCACCACCATAGCCACACGGTACCCTGGTCATGTCGACCGGGCACAAGAAGTGCAGGGTCATGTCCTTCTTTGCCAAGCCACGGAGCTTGGTCAGCATGCTCTTCTTCCCATGGGCCTTCGACGAAGTGCCACCAGATCCAACCTCCTTGACGACCACAAGCCGAGGGTAAAGGTAGTTCGGGGCCTGCAAGTTCTTCAGGCGCATTAGGCTTTCCTGGGTACTCTCGAGCACCTTGTCCAGCCTTCCTGTCATCATGCCGAACCCATCCTCCACCTCGACCTTCACTTCGCCTAAGCCGTCCGTGATACCGTCGAGAGCAGCCTTCGTGTAGCCAAATCCTCTCCTCACCTCGCCCTGCACGTTGCCAAACCCTCCCTTCACCTCATCCAACCCGGCCTTGGTGTCGTCAACCCCCCCCTTCATGGTTTTGATGATGCTTTCGACCATTCGCGTCAACCCGTCCTTTTTCTTGGAGCTACCCTGTGATAGCCATGACGCAAGGACCGGCACAGGACCAAAGCACTCAGCAGCCAGAATGCATCTTCGAGCATTAGTGCAAACTTTTGTCCCAACAACAGAATCACGATACTTGTTCACCGTGTGGATACAACTGTGTCGGGCATAACGAGGTGGTGGATGAACGTTGAACTAGGCACCATCATCATCTGCCGTCAGAATGCTCCTTCGCGAACGGGGGGGTACACGTAACGCAAGATTTGGTTGTATTGCCGATACTACCGGTGCTGTCGAGACGTGATGATGCTTGCGGAGACAACACCGAATGTAATCAGCGACATAGACAATCTGCCTCCGAGGTCATTACCAGCCGAACAAAAAAACAAGCGCACGAAGACACCAACCGCTTTACGAAACAACGAAATCCAAGCACCCATCGCCAGCCAACAGCTCCTAGGATGGGTGACGCGTGCGCGGGTATGGGTGGCAGCACATTGTACAACATACGATAAGGAACATCTGATTCTGAATTTTGTCGCTTATCACTCCGAGCAAACGTGTCAGAAACTACCAAAAACTGATCGCCGTACAATATGAGCAGCGAGACAAACAACTGTCCCGACGCCATACCAGACACAGAACGGCCGTGTACGGCTACTGGGATAATTCCAGAGATCGATTAGAGTGGTCTCGTCACACGCTCACCACAACATCGGCACAGTTTGTGACTGACCCAAAGTTTCTTTGTTTCTAAGGTATACTACGGGTACACACGTTGTTGCGGCAAACCTTGCCCAGACTTTCGATTTCGTATTTCTCTCCACTATCAACCAGATGTGCCACCTATTCTCACCGCCTGGCCATCGAAGGAGTAGTGGCCCTTCAGGGCATCGAACCTCTCCATCACCTCGTCGAAAATTTCACCTGTCGGGCGAAAATGAGCATAGGAGTCACTCAACATGCCGAAACATGCCTAGTCTGTACTTACGCTCCGGGGTCTTACCAAGTGCATTCGATGGCAACCGTAGTAGCGTCATTCCTCCGACCTAGACAACGACCTGCAAGGGTGCGTGCAGACAACGCAGAGGTAGACTCTTGTGTGCCCATCCCACAAAAGTTTCTTTTAATCTTTCCGTAGGCCTATTGCCCGAAACAGAGGGGGTGAGGGCTAAGCCAATCACCCCCAAAGAAAAACGATGCTCTGGACATTTCATTGACAGGCTCGAGCGATTGAACACGGATGTACGATAAAACTTTTGAAATCCTCTGGTTGTCGCCATCCCTAACGATGGGTCGGGGCACACCTGTTCCAACTGCCCCGCGGAAACTTGTGTCACGCGTATTGATGGTTGCATGGGAATCGCTCATATTCAGGAATGCGCGCATGCATCGTGATGGCTCTTGTTCTCTCGTATAACATCAAGAACCATTCTCTCATCCGCGCCCCCGTGGATGAGGTTTTTATCCTGCGACAGCAGATACTGTAGACCGCAACAACCGTTACAACACAAAATAGCACTCAAAGAATGTTTGTGTGCGAATCTTGACAACGCATGTGCTCTCTACCCCAAGAGCAGGCAATCGCTCGTCCTTGCTGATCGGTTTCACAACAACACCGATGTCACGCAATGACACCGCCAACACAACGAAAATATCGTCGTAGGAGGAATAGCACGCTCGGCGGGGGCAAGATACGTTGTCACTGCCGGTATCGCTCGCGCGCTTTCATTCAGCATCACCAACTCGGAGCAATCGCACGGGGTGTTCGTGAGACTAGCAAACGAAATTATTGAAGTCTCATTTTGCCGCATGGGTTTATGGCGACCGAAAGTGTCCCAGTCTCACAAGGTGACAAAAACCAACAGTGAAGATAGATATATGCCACATCGCACGTTGAGCTTAACTTCCACTTGTGGGGGTACTCCAACCTCTCCATTGGTCGTGCATACCTCGGTCCATTCGGATGTCGACCATGCGCAAGAGATCGATAGCCGCGGCCCCAAGTCCCTTGGTTTCGGTACTGCAACGCGGGCATCTGCGTTTCAGAAATGTTTCTCCGGCCTGGGTCACCTGAAAACGGCGTGGATAGGTAATCCTGGTATTGTAGGCGCGGCGTGAGCTACATATGTACCTACAAGCACCCAACGGTGTTGATGCTAAAAGGCGAACGCTAGGCATGGCAGCAGGGAAAACACACAACTTTAATTCTTCAACCACAATCGTACATACCGTACGCAAGAGTACGCAGTCACCAAACCACAAAAAAGCACAACAGAGATGCACATGCTTTCGTTCTCGCCTTTCGGAAACATCCAGATAGCAAAAGAAGAATCTACAGAACCACCAGCAAAGTGCTACAGCTTGCCAGCACAGGCCCTGCGCCAAACTACACCTACTCAAGTCTGGCGGTAAGCTGGTGCTAATGAGGAACCCTGTGCTCCCAGTTCTCCAAAGCGCCAAACAAACCCATTCACACGGGATTTTCCTCAAAAGCATTGCTGTAGACGTGCACTTCGAGAAGAGCACATCCTGCAACATGCAGGTGAATATTGCAAGAACATCGTTACTGCCAATACTACACAAGGTCGACCATGCCCTTGACCGTGCGTATGCAAGCAATCACACGCGAATGCAGCTTGGGTGTCAGGAATGCACAAGGGCTGGAGGGATTACCTTGTTGGCCATAAGCATCGCGTCACCATGTTGAGGACACTTGAGAGCACCGCCCCAGCGTAGTCCTGGGAAATCCACCAGCATCAAGCTCACCGCAGACATGACGTATGACAGCGCCACCCACGGAGCCGGAGTGCCGATATCACCGAAGATCTGACCATTGAGCTTGTGGTCGGTTGATGAGTATTCTAGTACCACGGCAAATATCCCGCGCCCACCCAAATCGCCGAGGCCACCGTGCACAAGCACCCCATATCGCCAGAATGTTTGCACGGCACCAAGACCGCAGCACCGTGTCAGCACCTTTTCAATCGCACCAGGCGGTACACCGAGAAAGATATTCCAACTGGCACTCAGTGCTGGGGTGTGCCTCGAACAGAATGTGTCGATCACTTCGCCCACACTATCGGGGCGTTCTGGTTTTAGCCGCAGAAGAACTACCTGGCCCTCATCAAGATCGCCTTCGAGCGGGAACGTGAGACCCAAGGATGCAAGCGTGGGGAGAACATACTCGGACAGGCCACCCGGCCACATCGCATACGCTAATCTTGGTTCAAGCACGCCCTCGTTCTTGAGCCTGCCCCACGAAGCGATGTATAACGGATCGTCCAGGGTGATACGCGCGTCACCCGTGTCCCCAAGATTCACACGGCCGTCAAAGGTCTCTTGGTCCTTGTGATTGAGCAAGGGCTTGAGGATTCTCGCCAGCCAAAGTACGTCGAGAAAGACGAACGTTTCGTGGCGAACGAGGGATCCGTCGAACTCCCTGCATTCACAACATTGTGAAGTACGTCGAGTTGGTAAATCCGTCTGGGGTGAGTGCAGAAACCGCGAGGAGCGTTTACGGAAGGGACGTCGCCCCCTGGTTTCCGAAACGGGACCAACACAATGCTCGAGAGCAAGATATTTACGTTTGCTACGCGATCACGTTCACTGATTGGCAGCGATGCTGCACCTACTATTGCCAGTAGTTCCTACCATGTGGCGAACGAGGTGAGATCAATATCGGAATACCAATTTGGTATTTTTACCTGATCGAGAGAGCTCCTTCCAAAGCATTCTTGGCGTTTGTGACGATGATCCCTCTCCGCTCAAGCTCATCAACTATTTTCTGCCATTTCTTGCTGAGGTCCTCAACCGTGATCCCCTGATACACGACTGTGTTGCCTCCTGCCGTTTCCGTCGCGTCTCCTCTGTCGGGGTGGAGTGACTTGCGCAGTACTACCTCGACCGGATCGCTGGGCAAGCAACATCCAATCAATAGCGGGTCAAACGCCGTCAGAACATGTCGAATCGTCAAAGACCCCATCCACACACGTGTGGCACAGACGCCAGTGTCCCGAGAGTTCAACCGAGGGCAACTAGCGTAGTACGGACATGTAAATCCCACAACCGAAAATGTGAATTGGACTGGGCGTGGGCCGGGGGCGTTGGCGCGGGGTGAACAGCTGGAGACACCAGGGTTTTCCATGGGTACACTTTGTGGGGGGGAAACTAATGTTACGAGCTTAGCTTTGCCTCCGACATTGGGCGGTTTGGTCTTTTTCTGTTTGCTGCCTACCATATCTACCATCTCGCTGGACTATTGGTCAGGGTGGTTGGGGAGCGTGAACTTTCTGCGAGTGGCGGGATTTTTTCCGGGTCGTTTGTGACTATGCGTACCATACGTTCGGTTCGCCTATGACCATTGGAGTTCGTGGTGTCGCCACGACGAGTGCCGAAGAAGGACGTACTCAACAGAGGCCATAGCGGTCACTTCATGCGAAGACATCAACAAACACCGCAACATTCGGCTAGAGTGGCTGTCGTGCATGAAACCATCGCGAGCCCTGGCATGCATATGACCTCCGGGGGTATCCGTGCCCTGTGCGCTTTGTAGGCTCTACAAGTACGCATATTGTTGACAGTCTCTATTGCAGACCCCCGGAAGGTTGAAGCTTAAACGTTGTCACAGAGGGCGTAGACGGTGTTCCTTTTCTTCAGGGTGTCGGCAACGGGATGTCTGGCCGGGGACTACAGGAGCGTTTTCGTTCCTGCATCATCTATTCGCCAACTAACAACGCAATGGTGGTGCGCAAGGGCCAGCTTCAAGAGATAACTCAATTGTTTGCATCGCCGCGGTAAGCAGAAGAAATTAGATACGTTCATGAACGCCACGGACCCCAAAAATTGTGTTTTGTATGTGTTCGAGATGGGGCTGCTTATTCCTCTCAAAAAATGAGGATGAATGAGGATCGAATCCTCCCGCCCCATTCCTCATGAGGGGAGGTGAGTCAGGAGCCCCAAGTTCCCCCTGGTTCGACTCATCGTCTCCCGTATGTCGCTGCAAGCGGGAGGGGAGGTGAACTACGTGTCAAGCGTCCCCCATGGTTGGACTCACGAATCTGCCGCAAAGTCGATCGAGAGCCCAAGCGTCAAACCGAAATCAAGCTCACCGTCCCTGCTCGAGAGAATCCAGAACAATGAGGACTGTATCCCAGCTGCGAGGAAGCACCATCTGAGCTCCTCGGAGACCACCTCCGTCAGGCTTGTTGACGAGCCGGTGAAGTAAACTGGGCGGGGGGTGATCATCTTTCATGTCATGCCAGTCGCACGCCCAGTCCCCCTTCGACCCATGGTTCTCAGTGCCAACCTCACCATGTTGGCCACCTTCTGCTGGGAAGCAGCTCGTGAAAGAAACGCCGGGCTCCAACTGAACGGGCTGCATACCATGGCGAACCCAGCTCGAAAGCCACGTCCGACAGGCATGCTCCACTCTTTCGCCAATTTCCGCTGCGTTTCCGCCCGCCAGGTCGCACTTGGTGACCACCAGGATGACGTCGTTATGGGGAACTCGTCGAGAAATTGATCGCAGCCAATCGCACACACGCAACTCTTCCAGCTTGCGGCAGTCTTCCTCAACTTCGCCGGAGTTTTTGCGTTCTAGCTGCTGCCCGAACGCCGCCGCGTTGCACACTAGCACGCAAACCGACCGTGGCGTCAAGAACATCTGCAGAAGCCCCGTGTAGGCAACCTGTCGAACGTGCGTTATGTGAACTTGACATCCATGAACTGCGTGGCCTCTCATCCTTGAGGGGTCTGTACAACCCCCCCCTCGAGCCGTTCGGTTTGAATCAAAATGCCACACCTTCTTAGAGGGGAACCACGGCTCCACGCTATTTGGCGAATGAAGGAAAGTATTGTCGAGACTGTATATCTATTTCCACACACACACAGCTTCTTTGTTTCAAGGTGATCCCTCCCCACACATTTCGTCATGTTAGCTCAACTCCAGCACATCCAAGCGACATATTTCGAGCTTGTGGATTTGTGGGCCATGCGTGGAATACATAGCACCCCGAAAGCTGGAACTTTACCCTCTAGAGCAGCAACACCTCGGGCCCACTAACCGGTTTGTCTACTTGTGGCCGAAATCCCCAGGACGATACGGGACAATAGTAACAATTCTTCTCCGTCAGGACACTCTCTACACAAAAAGAGCGGTAGTCCTCACTGGCTTGGAGGACTCACGAGGGGGTGTTTCGAAATTCGCGAGGTAGGATGGAGGTTTTCGGGCGCGGCCAAAGTAAACGACCGCAACTGCGTCGGCTCCCGTGTATCCCGATTCAAGACAAACAAAAAACACTACCGTTGTGAGGAAATACCTACAGCCCCCAACGCTTCAACACCCATCCAATACACGGTCCTGGGTGCTACATGTTTCAAGCCCGTGGTAGCAAAAAACATACTTTTACGACATGATGTCCAGGAATTTCACTTCGTTCCGCGTGGCGTGAGACAGCACTTGTTGGGGGGGCCAACCTGGCATCTAATTTGAGGGCACCATTTCGCTGGTCCGGGCAGACAGTGCATGCTCCCAGGCGACGGTCTCACGCAAGGCCTCCGTTTAACACCTTTCGAAACATTTTTCCAGCACAAACAACACCAGTTACCTGCCCAGCGCAGTCGTACACCCGAACGGATGAACCTTCTAGCTCCATGGGCTCCACGTCCGCAAACACCGTGCTCTCCTCCTTCCACTCACCCGTGGGAGTTGGTTCATTGGCCTTCATGCTCTGGCGCAAGCTATACCAGATGGGCACAGCGAACGATAGAGAGCTGAAAAGTGTTGGTACGGCGCAACAAGGTCCAACCTGCCGCGAATGGTCTTCGAGAGTCCACATTCGAAAGAATGCCGACACGCGGCAGGAGAAAATAGCTTTGGTTCAATCCCCGGCGAACATTTGGTTCGAACGTGATGTTAGATGTCATCGTTGGGCAACGAAAGGCGTGAGATGTATACCGTACTGGTGCGAGTGATCGCACCTCGCCTAGGCCAACTTCCATGTCTCGATTGCTCCACAGCCTAGACAACACAGGTGCCGCAAAGGGTGGTTTCGAAATATCTCCAGAGCTTCTCTTAAGCCTACCGGTTATGTTTGTGCCACACTGCGAAATACGTTTGGGATAAATGATGCCGGTCAAGCACGTGTGGCGGGAAAGCAGTAGCGGTCTGCAGGAAGACCACCACACACATCACGGACCTCGATTTCCCTGCTCCTTCCTGCCCGACAAGAACCACCTTGGTACTGATACGCTCGATCCGGCAGGGTTCAGCATAAAGATCTTCGAAATAACTTCTCATGCTCTTCCGCCCTTTGTCCACGATAGATTCTGGCGGTTCAGCCCAGGGGTTGCCATCGAGAACGATTTTCGCTCTCTCGAGGACGTCAAGCAACCGGCACAGCTGCCCGGGCATTGACCCACCTGCCATGTGGCGTAGAGCACGCAGATGGGAAGGGCCCGATATCATCGCATCCATCGGGTAATCACGAGGTAAAAGGCCAGATACTCCAGCAGTCGTACAGTCTCCTTCGGGGGGGTTGACTAGGCATTGGCACTCTAGCAGCCGATCCGTGAAGAGATATTTACGGTCTGGCTCCATTTATCACCAAGCACATGCCCGAAGCTCGGCAAGAGGTGAGCACAAGACTCTGGTGCTCTCCAAATCATTATTGGTGACGTATCGTACTCATCGTTAGCAGAACGAGCAACGAAGTTGACATATTGACAACGGGACGGTGCACCTGGGACAGCTGGAGCACACGGCAGCTCCATCCTCGAGACAGTTTGACCATCGTTTCCGACGTCGGACGTCCCGCGTCAATCTCAATACAAGATGGCGCACAATGTGTCAGGAAACCAGTATCGCCCACAAGAGAGACTGCGCCTGCCCTTCGACCAACACATTCAATCCTCACGAGGGCTACCTGCCGGCAAGCCCTGACAAGCCGGGAAACCACATCTGGTGCTGCTGCTGGTATCGAGGACTGCCGGCGCGATCTTCACCCACTCGCCAGAAAAGGAATACATAAGCACGCGGATTGCGGTAAGTCCTATTTCCTGGGGACACTGACTTTGGCGAGGGCGCCGCCTTGCCCACGTTGCTGAATTGAAGCATACCTGACATGCCACAACCTCCCTTATCTTGGTCCTCATCTTGAACGTTCTGGGTGTGGTCCCAGAGAGCTGCCCAATGAAACAAAGTCGCAACAAAACACGCGGGAAGCTACAATAAGGTGCGGAGCCCGCGCGCAAGCGGGCAACGAACTAGCTGGTAGACAGCCTCGGACAAGGCTCGAGGTCTCATAACGCTGGTCGTTATTGCATTATCCACCCGTGTGCAGTGAAACGCAAAAAAATAGGACGGGCCCGCGGGTACCCAAATTTCCAAGGTACTCGTTGGGAACTTCCCGACGTTTTTTTCCCACCTTGGTGGGCGGTCCCGGTACTGGCGGTTATTGCCGTCGTATGCTGGCGTGTACCGGGACCACCGAAAAACGAAAAAACCCGCTTACCGCCGAAAACGTACGGCACAAACTGCCAAGCGTACCGCCGTATTGCAATACCGCCCAGCACGTACCGCCATATTGCAAAGCCGCCGAAAGAGTACCGTCAAATCGGGTTACCGCACAGAGAGGTACCGCCACAAGCGGTATCGTCAGTATCATAAAGGTAGTCCGATAGGTAAGACAATGGACCACTTGTATATCGCAGCCAAGAAGTCTAGACTAAGTGCCTTGGAGCGTCTCGCCCTCGACATGATTAAGTTGACTGGTGAGTCCAGCGTTTAGAAACATCGAAATACAAAATGTACATACTCCCCACGGGGGTGAATAGGTGACGTTGCAGAAGCCAGGATGGAAATCGTAGACCACCTCTCACCTGAGATTTGGTTGCTGTCCAAGCCAAGATGCGCGAGCTCGGCAAGGGCTCCCAGCTCCTTAGGGACAGTACCTGAGTCGAAACAGTATCGACGGATTTGCTGAGATCAGTAGGGTGTTCAAAGAGGCTTTCGCATTTTTCTCACGCTCAAAACGGCGTGGATGCGAAAACCGATGAGGTCATCGCAGACCAGAACAACGCAAGACAGTAGTTGATGGTCCAGGTACAACCAGGAGAGTCCCACCATATCACTACAAAACGTTGCCGAGTTCCTACGTTGGTGTCGTTCCGTCGGATCGGCACGTCTCGCTCTTTCTCTCCATCCAATGTTCGCCGCATGCGTGTGCCGTGTAGGATGTAAGTCGGGCGTCTGATCCGCCACCGACGATACTTTGTCAAGGACGACCAGATTGACACCAACAATCGCTCAAACGATACATCGCCTGATCGCGATCCTTTGTTATCCGCAGCAAATGACGGTCTCACATATTTTTGCGAGTACCGCTGCTGATGGTAATGATGCTGCTGGTGTCAGGATCGCGGTACTATGTGCAACACAACCCCTCTACCTGGAACATTCAGTGCCGTTGCACGCTGAGGTATGGATGACGGCCTAGAATAACCGGACAGCTTCTTTGCGACAAGTGTTGCGAAACGATGTACAGTTGGGTTGTGACTCCCTTCTCTTTGGTTCTGATGCGCGCACGCCCCGATTGCTCCATACAGACATGGAGGCTTGTACAGTATCAGCCGCTAGGCGACGCGCTTTCTCCTGAATTTCTTGGAAACTTCGAAAAGAGCATGCTCTGGGCACCCGCAAAGAGTACTTCGATGAATAATTGTGTTCTGTTCTACAGTATGTTGCCAACCCAATACTCCTACTTCCTCTGGCCAGTACGTCGGTAACGTTAAGGGCGATAAGCGTGTGAGGTGGAACGGTAGTGACGTTGGTATAAAATTTGGGTCCGTTGCCAAAGAAAAACTGAAAAAGCGCAGACGATGCTCACGGAGACAAACATGACCCATGTCGAACTATTCCCGATTTTTTGCGTTTTCTTGAGATATTTTGTTTCTATTGTTGTTGGCCTATTGTTCCTCCGCCGAAACAGGGAAACATGTGCCAATTCTCGAGTCGACTGATGTTTTTCCGGCCGTTGGCCCATGCAGGGTTGTCCGCGAAAAAAAAAGGGTTCTAACCCAACACACGCTCAAGATTTCGAAAAAATATCACCGAAGGCATCGGACACGGTTAAGTTCTCGTTCAAGCATACCGCTACAGGCGTACGGGCCAGAGAAGGTATAGGAATTTTTTGCAACCGATTTTCTGTATTGAATGACGCATCGGGTAAACTTGCAAAAAAGTCAAACAAGCTAGGTAACAATACCCTATAGCAAATCCTAAAACTAGCGCGAAGTAGAAATAGGGCCCCACCCGAATTGTCTCCCGGCGTCTAGCAGATCATCTTCTCACCAACGCGTGGGCAGTGTACATATTCACATTATTGCGCTGTGCATCTTGTGGGTGGAGGAGCGATTTCCAAGGCCCCCTAAGCTCAAAGCTAGCTTTGAGAAACTTGTCTTGTTTCGCGCTCGGCTTACGGTCAAGAGGCGTACAATACCATTCTGTTGCACACTTTTCGTCGTACGTTGTGCCGCTGGGTTCTAGAATCTTTCACCAACGTGTTGTAGGTGGTGCGTGCAGTGTGTGCAGGGATCGCGGGGGGAAACTGAAGTCTAATATTCTCACCTGTGAGATGGTTATTACTCAGGCCAAGAAACGTGAGCTCTTGAAGGGCTCCAAGCTCCTTTGGGATGGAACCTGTGGGCAGCACGTCGAACATTGTATCAGTGGAAGTCATCTATGAACAAGGTACGCACAAGTTAGCGGGGGATAGAACGTAGTACCCCCTGGCTTCCACCTACCCATCCACATCTTGGCGGGATGTTGTAGAACCCGTCGTGGAATAGTTCCTAAAGGACGGGAGTGACGACTAGCTTTCCCCGGCTGGAGTCATACTTGCCCATTCTCTACAGGTCCCATGCCGCCGGATAGGGGACATCTGCCTTCATAAAAATGACGAGTTATTTCGCGCACAAACAAGCTGAACGTGTTTCCCCGATCATGTTTCAGAAAAAGCGTTCCCTGGGCATGGGCGAGTAGGTATTCTGGAGGCCGCGGGAACACGACCTCAAATTTTCTATGCATACGCCTCATTCAATCCCATCCCGCCGGAGATAGCGTTGGAATTCATCGTTCTCCGCGGAAGCATGTTCAGCAGTGAGCCATACGTTCGCGTGTAATGTCGTTTACCCCCCCAAAAATTAGTATCAATCCCGCATTCGCGTTGGCGGATTTCCGTAACACGCGGAGAGATGGCACCCGCCCTTGACCGACCGGTCCGATTGCTCCACAACCGAGGGGGTATTAGATAAAATTAGACCATCTGATCAGTCTGACTACTGAGTCAACGTTGACTCGGTGGTCTAATGGTCAGAGCTTTCTTACACAAGGTTCCACGCACGGGTTCGAATCCCAGTGGTCCACTTACAGAAGAACCGCCATTTGTTTACCAAACAGCAGCGTCTGGCGAGGGGTCCGTCCCCGGAGATCTCTACGCTCAATCCCAGTGATTAAGCTTCTAACAGCCTCAAGCCCATGTGATCCGGCCGGGTGCTAACGAGCTCAGCGCATATCTTTTATTAGATAAAATTAGACCATCTGATCAGTCTGACTACTGAGTCAACGTTGACTCGGTGGTCTAATGGTCAGTCAGAGCTTTCTTACACAAGGTTCCACGCACATATTAGATAAAATTAGACCATCTGATCAGTCAACGTTGACTGATCAGATGGTCTAATTTTATCTAATAAAAGATATACGCTGAGCTCGTTAGCACC